TTTAACCTCACCCCCGTATGGTTTAACCTCACCCCGTATGGTTTTTGGTTGTCCGTAAGTAGCCGCCACAGCTACTCTTTTTTTTTTTTTTAAAAAAACTTGTATCTGACACATTTTGTTAGTTTTAACTCTGTGTAAGTGTACAGTTTGTTAACCCCCTTTCCTCCTGTGTCCTGCCCCTGGGAACCACTAAACTTTGGTCTCTATATATCTGCCCTTTCTTTTTATATAAGTGAGATCATAATGTGTCCTTTTGTGACTGACTGACTTCCCTCAGCTCCATCCACACTGTAGCATGCATCCAGACTGCATTCCTCCTGCTGCCTGAGTAGTGTACCCGTTGTTTGTACGTACCACATCTTGTTTATCCGTTCACTGGGGATGGACATTTAGGTGGGTTCCACCTTTTGGCTCTTGTGAGAGTGCTGCAGTGACCACTGGTTCCAAGTCTCTGTCTGCGTCTCTGCTTTCAGGTCTTGGGGTACCGCATACCTAGGAGTGCCATTGCTTGGCCATAGGGTGATCCTGGGTTTAGTTTTCTGAGGCACCACTGCACATGGTTTCCACACAGCTGAACCATTTGGCATTCCTGCCAGTAATGGACAAAGCTCCAATTTCCCCGCGTCTTCACAAACAATGTGTTCTTTTCTGTTGTTGTTTTTCCTTCTTTTCATCTTGGGCATTGTTGTTGTTAGGTGCCATCAGGTTGGTCCGACTCATAGCGACCTTACGCACAACAGAACGAAACACTGCCCGATCCTGGGCCAACCTCACTACTGCTGCCACGCTTGACTCCATCGATGCTGCCACTTGGCCAATCCATCTCACTGGGAGTCTTCCTCTTTTTCTCTGACCCTCCACCTTACCAAACATGATGTCCTTCTCCAGCGACTGCTCTCTCCTGGCAATATGTCCGAAATACGAGAGACGACGTTTGGCCATCCTGGCCTCTAAGGAGCACTCTGGCTGCACTTCTTCCTGAACAGATCTATTGATTCTTTGGCAGTCCATGGCACTTTCAGTATTCTCCTCCAACGCCATAACTCAAAAGTGTCAATTCTTCTATGGTCTTCCTTATTCACTGTCCAGCTTTCGCATGCATATGAGGTTATTGAAAATACCAAGGTTTGGGTCAGGCACACCTTAGTCCTCAAGCTGACATCTTTGCTCTTCAACACTTTAAAAACACTTTGGACATCATTGTTGTTGTTATTAAGTGCCGTCGGGGCATCATAGGGGCAATAAAATGGTATCTCATTGTTTCCATTTGCATCTCTGGTGACTCATGACACTGAGCATGTTTTGATGTGTCTGGTGACCATTTGAATGAATTTCCTCTTTGGTGAAAAGTCTGTTCACATTCTTTGTCCATGTTATGGCTTGGGTAGTTTTGTTTAATTGTTGACTTTATTTATAGTTTTTGATTGTTCGATTCTTGTTGGATATATAGTTTTCTAAGCTCTTGCCCAGCGTTTTATAATCTTTTGAGTTATTTTTTGTTTGCTTAAGAATCCCTGGTGGTGCACTGGGTCAAGCGTTGGGCTGCTCACCGTAGGTCAGTGGTTCGAACCCACTGGCTGCTCCACAGGAGAGCGATGAGATGGTCTGTGTAAAGATGCGCAGTCGTGTGCACCCAGTGGGCAGTTCTGTTCTGGCCTGTAGGGTTGCCGTGTGTTGTGGTTGATGGATTTGATGGCAGTTGGTTTCGGTTTTTTTGTTTGTTTATCTTTTTTTTTACATTTATTACTGTATGTTTTATTTTTAAAATACTATTGTCAGTACCATTAGTTTTTGCTTGTTTTTAGCTTATAAAGATGCAATTTGATTTTTTAAAAAATTGTTGTAAATACCATATATGTGGTGGTGGTTATGTGCCGTAGAGTTGGTTCTGACTCATAGCGACCCTTTACAGGGTTTCCGAGGCTATGAATCTTTATGGGAGCAGAAAGCCTCATCTTTCTCCCGCAGAACAGCTGGTAGTTTCCAACTGCTGACCTTGAGGTTAGCAGTCCGATTTGTAAGCACTACGTGACCAGAGCTCCTTAACTAATATATATGTTGTTGTTGTTAAATGCCGTCGAGTCGGTTCCGACCCATAGCGACCCTGTACAGGGTTTCCGAGGGTGTAAATCTTTAAGGGAGTAGAAAGCCTCATCTTCCTCCCGCGGAGCGGCTGGTAGTTTCGAACCGCTGACCTTGAGGTTCACAGCCCAATTCGTAACCACTTCGCTACCAGAGCTCCTTAACTAATATATATAAGAACTTGTCATTTCAGCGTTCTTCATGCTCTATCCAATTCAGTGACAGTTACGTTTGTCACGTTGTTCATCCATTACCATTATCTGTTTCTCAATTTTATAATTGACTTGTGTATTGATCTTGAAGCTGGCAAGTTTGTTAGGCTCACATACTGATTTTAGTTACTTCTTTGTAGAGGTTTTTGGATTTTCTGTATAGTAACTCACATCCTGTATGAATCGTGGCAGTGATTTGTGACATGATGGCTCTGACTCGTGTGAATGTCCACTATAACGTTGACTCTGAGACGCTTGCTTCTCTCAGAGGGAAAGCATTCACTTTCACTGTAACGCTGGTGCTAACTGTAGGATTTGTCGTTGGTGGTGTTGCTTCTCTTTGTCAGATGAAGGACATTTTTCTATCTAGTTATCTGACAGATCCATTTGAACTTGGAGTTTTCTTTCTGAGAAGGTTTCTAATTATGGGTTCAATTGATTTGGTAGCTTTTGGGACTCTTATTTTGTTTGTTTCATCAGTTTTGGTTAAGGTGGATTTTCCTGATATTTGCTCATTTATCTAACTATTTATTGATTTCAGATCACCTCGTATGCTGGATTCATAGTGACTGTCCCTTTCATTTTTGGCATTGGAGTTGACATTGGAGGTTTGTCCCGCTTCACTCTCACTAAGTGTTTAGTAATTTCTTTGCACGGATTGCTATTTGACTTTGTTGGTTCTCTCTGTTGCGTTTCCCTCCTCTTTGATTGCTTTCTGCTTTTTTTTTTTTTAACAGTTTTGCTGTGAATTATGTGATAGTTTACATGGGAGAATATTAGCTTTACATTCATCCTACCTTGTATCATTACATTGCCGTGGTTACAATCCCTTCCATGCAGCATCAAACAACCACAGGGTATATACCGCAAACCTGCAACCTGGTCGTCAGCACACAGCCCCTCTCCCTCTCTAGGTCTAGAGTCCCCGGCTGCTCCATCTCTCCATGTCATCGTCTCTGCCTCCATCTCTGGCATCATTGTTTGTCCGGGTAGGGTCCCGCTCTCCACTCTTCTCCCTTGATGGTCCCAGAGGCCTCTGCTCCTGGCCTGCAAAGTCAATCACTACCTTTCTTTTGCTACAAAATGTCTACCTTTACACTTCCAACCCTGAGTCATTCCTGATAGTCATTAGTCACTGTTGTACCACATGAGTGCTGTTCCCATCTCCTTTCATCAGTCCTGCCCAGACAGATTGGATACCACTCAGTGGAGATTCTATCTTCCTCCAGGCCCTCTGGATCCAGGCTCCCCCCTTGAAAGCCTGCAAGCCAGTCACTTCTTGCCTTTGGTAGCACCTCCCCCCACCTCCCCAATTTTGGATAGCCAATGTCCAAGTGGCCTATCCCTGTCTACTCTGTGTGTGGAGGGGGTGAGAATGATCCTTGCTGTAAAGATTTGTTCCCTCTTTTGAGCTACTGCATCCATAGGTGTAGGTCAAGTTCATCAAATTGTATCCGTTACTCATTTTTTCCTTTTCTTTCTTCTAGTTGAGCTCTGATCATCCAGTCACTGAAGCCAGGTCAAGTGGGTATTATCTGCAAGTGTGGGTGTTCTTGTGCATATCTCCTCTCTTCTTATCAGCTGGATACTTCTGTCTCCACTCCAGTCCTCTGTGACTATGTCACTGACTCTGGGCCCAGGAGTCCCCAGTCTTGCCACACTGCTGGCCGACCAGGTCTCCACCCGGGTTCCCAGCAGTCTGTTGAATGTTGTAGGGCTTAGCTCGCAGCTTCATTGCTGTTTTTCTCTCACTTCCCTTTATTGGTGACCACCGTGGTCTCCAGTCAGAGCACATGTGTGCTCGTGTATTGTCATTGAGTTTTAGTCTTGGAAGGGGGTTTGCCCTGAGGGGACCCGACCGCTTGCCTTGCTTTTTATCTTCTTCAGTTCTTCCCTTGGCTTTGTTCTGGCTCAATTGCTCATCTCTTGCTAAACTCGTGAGGTAGCTCTCTCAATGCTTTGGACTCTGCAGTTGTTTCAATGCACGTGGAAAGCGATGGCTCTGTCCCTGTGTGTGTCTCTAGCTGCCCAGGGACGTGCTATGCAGATCCCTCGCGCTCCGTGGAGGCAGTGCCTTCCTGCCTTGCTGGCATCTCCTGCTACTGTTTGTCCTGCTCAGTCCTCTGTCTGGCTGCTGGTGGAGCTCAGTTCCCTGCATGAATAGGCGGGGCTTTCAGTTTAGGCCAGGGTCACGATGACCCTCCTGATGGGGTTCTTCGTTCTGAATCCCAACCCCACTGCCATTGAGTCGATTCCATCTCTTGGTACTGACTTCCTGAACAGGCTGCACAGGTGAGGCCTGGAAAGGAGCCTGCTGTCGGAGACTGGGAAGATGGCACGGGCAGTAGGGGACGGAGTGTCCAGAAGGCTGTCAGAATGGGGCTCTACCTGAGAGCGTGCTCTCTGCTGGGCTTGGAAACTCGAACATGGCTCTGCATTGGGGTATGGAGGCGATGCTCCCCCTTCCAAGCTGCTGTGTTTCTTCCATTTTCAGCCCCGAAGTGGGGCTGTCGAGCATCCATGGAATTTCATCCCAAGTGATGTGTGCTCCTCAGCGAATGGTTCCAGGGAGCAGCAGCTGGCTCGTCCTTGGGGCAGGCTGACAAGCATGGAAGGTGGTGTGAGTGCTCTCAGCACGTGCCGTGTGCATGCGTCTCTAGCCTTGTGAAGTGCCGTGGTCATCTCGTGAGTTGTCCTGTCTTTCAGATCGTGACGTCTGCGTCCACGGACCTTCAGGACTACACCTACTACTTTGTTCCCGCCCCCTGGCTGTCAGTGAAGCTGCTGAGGCTACTCCAGTGCTACCCGCCCCCAGGTAATGGCAGGGCAGTGGACATGGACCTCCCTCGGCCCCCAGCCTGTCCATCGGAAACCTTTGGTCACGTGTCTGCTTTCCTAGTGTTGGAGCCTCAGGGCACTGCCTAGACAGTCATGGTTTTGTTATCATGTGGGATGTTCCCGCTTTTACATAGAATTAGAATGCGTCTTAAATAAAATTTGAAGTCTTCAGACATTTTGTACCTGTAAAATGGTGGTAGTAACAGTAGTGTGACAGCCTGTGTGACTTTAGGGAGATGATGTGAATTGTGGTCGGTTCAAGGCTGCTTTCCAGGATCTTTTTATACCAGCTCAGATGCCACCTGTGTCCCCATGGTACAACTTCTGCTGTCCTCAGTTCCCTGAGGACAGACCCCGCTCAGCCCCCTGAGGACAGACCCCGCTCAGCCCCCTGAGGACAGACGCCGCTCAGCCCCCTGAGGACAGACTCCTTCAGCCCCCTGAGGACAGAC